AACCTGGCCAAGCCCGAGCCTGGGGGCTCCGGACTCCACCCGCGGCCTGGCCGGGGTCGCTCTCCTCAACAGCCCCCAGGGGAGCTGTGGGTGCGCAGAAGCCCCCAGCTCTGCTTTGGGGGCACAGAACCGTCGGCTGTCTGTGGTGAGCAAGACCACTTGCCTTTTGGTTCCCTCTTCTTCCCTCGTAACGTTAGAACGAGCATATGTGTGTGGCAGGTGTGAAGGTTAGTTAATTAATTCCCCTTGAAAATGAAGCTGCTCTAAGTGCTGAGTGTTCTCTTCCTCCTCCTTGTCACCTGTGGCTTTGTAATTTCCTCTAGACCTCCTTTTGTTTAAATGATAGAGATACAAATGCATTAGGAACAACATTAAGCCAACCATTGTGTAAAAATAGCAGAGTCCCTGAGAGGTCTGCATGTTGATTTTGGTTTGAGGAGCATTCAGTTTGAGTACAGCTCTGTCTCAAATCCCGCTAAGAGAGAAAAATGCTGCCTGTGCTTCTTGCCCTTTCCTATATGTCTGCATTTAAAATCACGCTCAAATCTGCTCATAACCAGCATTTTTTTATTTGCCTCTGACTTTAGCCCGGTTGCCTCTAGTCTCTTGGCTCTAAACCCCACTCTCAGCTTGCTGCCCTCCCCCCATTTTAAAGCAGTGCTCCGGCAGGCCCTGTCATGCCTGTTGGGGTTCATTACCCATTCTCATAGACAGAGCTGCAGATTTTTAAGATGTTTCTGCTCCAGGTGACCAGGCCACTCCTTTGTTGGAAATCACCACATCAGAACAAGCAGGATAAGTGTGTGCCTGCTGCTGCTGGAGGTAGCTTTGGCTGGGCAGCCAGGCTGGAACACGGTGTCCTCTGAGGCTGGGCGGGGGGGGTCTGCTGTGCAGCTCTGGGCCGATGGCTATGACGTTTGGCATTCCTCCACCGGACAAGGCAGAGGCAGCGAGCACTTGAACGAAAATGGAGTAGCGCAGGTGCCAGATTGGCTCGCAGGTTTTCAGTTTTCTGAGTCCCCTGAGATACATATGCAAGACGCTCAAGGGAGATTTCTCAGTCCTTCTCCAAATAATGTGCAGCTGATGAGCACGTGCCACTCTTCATCGTCCTGTTTTTGATGCAGGGCTTGTGTTTTGCAGACAATGAGTGGAAATGAGGACGACTGGCTGGCTCTCAAACCCCAGGAACCTTCTCCATCCCAGTGCTGCGGCAGCGGCTGCAAACCCTGCATCTATGATGTATACGAGAAGGAGCTTGAACGATGGGAAAGGGCCAAAGCAAAGCAAGACAAAAGCCTCCTCATGGAAAGAAAGGAACAGGTCAATTTATCTTCATCACATCCTAGAGCCTGTGCTTTGATGGTACTTGTTAGCGTGTGGGGTTGTGGTGATGGGCGAGGGATGCAGCAATAGATTAGAGAGGTGCCTTAAGAGAAGGCTGTAAATGTAAGTCCCCAAACTCTGCCTTCACAGCCACCCTCCCCCTTGCCTGCTCTCTCCCCGCTGTAATGTGATTTTCCAAGTGCCGAGTTCGCCCTGGTGTCGCATTACAGCCCTGGGTCTGCAGCTTCTCCTTGCTGGGGTACCCCAGCCAGACGGAGCCGGCCTCTCTGCAAAGTGGAATGGGTGAAAGGCACAAAGAATCACAATTTTCTCTGTTTCCTCAGAGAAACTCTGTTTTCCTGACCTTTTTAATCTTTTCCTGATTTTTGTACTTGTATTTTGAGGATGAAGAAAGCTGTGTTGTGTGTGGTGGAACAGTTGTCTTCAGAGCATAATTTTAAGCTTGTCAGTGCCCCTTTATGTAACATTAACTATGCTGGGTCAAGCAAAAATGATCAGCGTTGACACAGCTAACAATATTTCCTATTTGCAGTGGTCATCAGTAGGTTTCAAAGTTGCCCCCAAAGCAGCGCTCAGCTCTTCTAGCAGTATTATTTCTGTTTGTTTCCAGACATGAGAAGATGATTGCAGTGAGTCATAATAGGATGACCTTGCTGTAAGGTGTAAAAAATGTAATTTAAAGGGGCGGGGGGAGTTGCGAGATCCCAAAGTGCATGCCGCAGAACATGATAATGAATCAGCAGAGAGCTGAAATTTGTGCTGGGCCACAGCATTTAATACGTGTTCTTCTGGAGTCCTGAGTATCTCCTGCACTAAATTAGCACACACGTTTGCTTCCAAAGAAAAATGAAATAATAAAAGACACCATCTAACCAAGTAATTATTTATTGTTGTTCTTGCAGAGCAATAATTCAGAACTGAATCCAGATACATTTACTGCATTCAACATAAGCTCAGTGGAGCAGCTAACAGAGGACACCTACCAGTACAAATTTGAATTACCGGGAAATAGCAGTCTGCGATTGAGTTTAGGACAACATATCGTGTTAAGGTATTGTTCTCTGTGCTAGTTAAACAGTCTGCATTATGTAACCCAATACGTAGGTTTTTGTCAATAGACAAAGGCTTCATACCAGGCAAATCATAATTTCTATACCTCCACAATGACACAGATGAAAGAACTTGTGAGCTCGTTAGCTCTGCTAATTTTATGGTAAAAGCCATTCCAAAGCTGTATTTTTCTTCAGCATTATCCTTGTGTTGGTGGGTCAGAAAGAATTAGGTGTGATTAAGAAAATCCATTGGCAGAAAGAAAGAGTCAAAGAATAGATGTTACAACAGATTATTTACTCCACCATGTTGGGATGAAGACAATGAGCTGTGCTTACTCCAGAGCATGGTGTTTTAGGCCGTGTATCTTGGGGTAACTCAGCACGCAGGGTCTTACTCCCGGTGTCCGGACATTTCCTGACTGATTTCTAACAGAACAACTCTCCTGTGTAGTTTATTGCTTGCCAGAAAGGAGCCGCTTAGGAAAAGTTTGTGTGTCTCTCAGCCATCTGTGGTGATCATTGCCAGATAGAAAAAGTCATGTTATGATGCCATTGATCTGTATCTGTTGACGTTATTTCTACGTTAACAGCTGACGTGTACAGCTGGCTGGCTGCTGAAAGCACACACTTCTCCCTTCAGACATCTCTCATAATGCACCAGAGGAAAAGATTTGGTTGCTTCAATCAATTGCTGTAGTGAGCGTAAGAGCAGGGTGGGTATATTCTATGGAAAATGAAGACTTACAGGAAAATACAGTGTATATTGACAACACCTCAGGTCAAGGCTGTGCCCTGGCTTTCATTATTTAGTTACCAGATGCTGTCCCAACACAGAAAGGAAAGTAGACCCCAGCCCAAAAGGAATTGCAAATTTACCATGAAAATATTTTTCTCTCCCCTTTGCCAGTCTTGTATGTTCAGCTGTTTCTCACAAAACAGCTCAAACGTCCTTTTGGGGATGTGTCCACAAGCTGAATATGTGGTACAGCTGGGGCCACCACTGGGTAAACAAAAGGTGCATTTAGCCATTATGTTCCCCCTGGATTTTTACCCCGGAAGGGAAATGTTTTGCATCTGTGCACAGGCTGGACCATTGGGAAGAGGACCTGCTGCCTCCTTTGTCTCACAGAGGACTGCAGGAGTTTGGTAATGCCAGTCAATGACCCAAGTCACAGCGGGTTCCTGCATCTCTCTCCTCAGAGGAGTGGTGAACGGTTTGGAGGTCCAGCGAGCCTATACTCCGATTAGCCCAGGGAACGCAGAAGGTTACTTTGAAGTTTTAATGAAAGTAAGTAAGCCTGTACAATGTGGATTAGAGTCTAAGGTACGGGGGACTGTTTTCTTTAAGAAACAAGCACGCTGTCAGCACTTCAAGTGAGACTCTCTTAAAGCCTGCGTGGACTGTTTCTGTGTTGTTTTGAAGCAGTTGCGCTTTGCTAATAAAAATTGCAGTTTTTCCCACAACACTGAAAGCAGAGGAAGGTGACACACAAGTGCTTTGCAGGATAAGCCCTGTTAAGCAGTTGGGAGAGCCTCTCAGGAGCCCTGTGGTCACCAGTGTGGAAAGAGGTGCCCATTCCACTTCCCTGATTTCGTTGTGCCTTTTCAGGCTGTCTTTGGAATTGCATCCGGTTGTCAGCCCAATTGAACCCCTGATTTTGGGAAGTCTTTGCCCAGCTGTTCCCGTGCCCCCCCCCCCCCCCCCGATTTGCTTTAAGAACACTCCACAGAAAAGTTTTTAATTTTGTTTAAAAATGTAGTCAGACAGTAGGCAACTGTTTAGTTTGCAGGCAGGGCTCTGGAGCTGCCTGCAGTCTGAGAGGGGCACTGTGGCCCACGGGCACAGGCTGCACCTATTGGGGCAGATGGGGTGTCAGAGCCCCATTTTGGATGAGTGTCCTGGCCGTTCTGGAGGCCACCACAGAATGCTGGTTGAATTCAAAAGGGTTTTATAGAAGAAGTTGGCTGGAAATTTTTCTAAATAAAGTCTGTAGGGCCCTCATAAATGATTACTTTGTGTGTAGAATATCGAATTGAAGATTTTTCCAATACTGTATTTGTAAATCACTAGTGATTCCTCAGGGCAGACGCAGACTTCAATATAGGTGTGAAATTCAGAGTGCTGGGTGTCCCAAGTGGCTTGCAGAGAAGGACCACTTGTCCTCTGCCTGTCTTCCAGGATTTCACATTTTGGGGTTTATTATGCATTATAGGTTTGAACACAAATGCTGTTTTTAAGGGTACAGCTTCTATAGGACACCTGTGGGAGGGTCATTTCACCATTCTTGTGGCAATTGGTTTGTGGTAGAGGAGAGAAATGTTGCATTTGAGTTGCATTAATAAGGATACGTTCACAGGATGACTGTGAAATTTCATGTATACTTGCTTATTACTCACAGGTTTTGCATTTCAATAATAATAGTAATGATTGTAATGATACCTCTCCTTTATATAGAACCTTTCATCCCAAAGGGAGCTATAGTTTTTCTCTGGCAGTGACAAAAGAGGTTGGTAACACCCAGTGTAAAGCAGCCATTTTTATAACTCACTCTGTAGGTTGTGGTATATTTCACACTATTCAGGCAATTTTGGAAAGTACTATATTATTATTGTTACTATGCAATCCAAGCACTGTTCAAACCTTCTGTCTCCTGTTATTATAGCAATGCATTTGTGATACTACTGTTAAGAGCGAGGGAGTTGCCATTTACAGAGCATAACCCTCTTTTTGAGTGATTTTATAATGTTAGGGTTTCTCTCCATGTAAAACTGGGTGTAGAAGTTTTCCCCCAGGAGATAATTATTTTCTTCTTTTTATTTAGAAAAATTCATTTTAAACCCACTCAATCACTTCACACTTCAATTTTTGGAAATAATTTTGGTGAAAGAAGGATTGTTTTAGTTTCCGTTACCCTGGTCCACTGGGAGTAGGCAGTAAATGGGGCTGACTTTTCTGCTCTTGCCTTGGTTTGCTGTGTATGTTTGAAGAAGGTAGGTATAAAATACTGCTCCTTTGATGCAACTGCACACTCTTTGCGTGAGACTTAGTACCTGCCCAGAGCCCTTTAAGCGTAAAAATGTTTCTGGCAGTAAGTGAGAGCCTGGATGTGTATATGTTACGCATTTACCTTTTGAGTGTAACAACTGGTGCTAATAGTTCTTAATACTTCAGGTATCTTGTTTAAGTGAGGTTGTTAGGAGGGGAGGAGCATCTATGTTCTTTATTAGCTAACACTGCTTGCAAGCACATGCTCACTCACTCGCTTTTTCTTAGCTTCTTTGTGGTTTACCAATTTTGTTTGCCTGCAGTGCAGCTTGGTGGCCAGCCAAGGCACTGGGGTGTGGAGCTGGGCTTCTGTCCAACGCGCGTGCAGAAAATACCCCAAAATACGCTTATTTTATACAGGCTGGAGTCTTCGAAGGCTTATGTCACATCCCATCTTTTGACCTCTGGTTGTGTTGCCTTTCCTCAGGCTTATCAGTGGCATCGTCTCTGTGCGACACCAGTCGTCTGCCGCAGCTGTTGGGCTTATCTGCTCCTGCTGGTTGGACCAGCCCCTGTCCTCCGGCCAGATCGCATAGACCGTGGCCGTTCTTTTGCGCACGTTTGTTCTCATTAATCATAAAGTGGTCATACATATAGGACATACATATACATATAGCACGTAGCAACAAGACGGCTTGGCTGAGCCCTTCATTTTCCAGCTTCTCCTTGCTTCTTTGTTTCAAGCAAGCACTGACCCTTCCTCATCAGTCATGAGTGAGGTTAGCATTCCTGCAGGCAAAAGCCTAGATAATATTGTATGTGCCTGGTAGAAAGTAAGGCAGATTTTGCTGATGTTTTTCTTCCGTGAGGCCTAAATTAATGTATTTTTGAATATGTGAAGGTATCCCTTAGCATCCAGAGGATCTGTTCTGAAAACAAGAGTTTTATAAATGAGAAACCTAACTTTGTGCCACTAATTGTATCAACACAGCATCTGAGAGACTGAAAATAAAGCAAGAGCTATGCAGTGTTTATGTAACTATCAGTACCCAGAGGGCATTTCCAGACCCCATACCCTGAGATTTGGAGAACATTTGAAGGCTTGGACTGTGCTTTGCATTCAAGACACTCTTCTCTGTGTGCTTTGTAAGCAAGAACTCTGGAAATGCTTTTTCCAGTTTTGGAAATTCAGACTGCATGAGAGTGGGTTGTGTTTACATTAAAGTCAGGCTGGAATGGATCCAATATGATTTAATTTAAATGTCTTTGTTTTGGGTATAACTTTGAGTTATTTTTCACATAGAATGATCTTTCTTTCTTTTTAAATGCATGAAATTGTTTTTTGTCCCCTTTTTGTTTAAATGTTGATAACTTTATAATTGACTTTAAGCTGGGAAACTTTCCAACTGAGTATAATTATTCTTTTCTTTTGTGCAATGTTTTTTATTAGTGCTACGAAGCTGGGCTAATGTCACAATACATAAAAACATGGAAAAAAGGAGACATGGTCTTTTGGCGCGGGCCGTTTGGAGGGTTCCCGTATCAACCTAATAAGGTTAGTTCCCGAAAAGACATGGGATGTTTCAGCTTGTGGCAGCTAGCTTTGTTTAATACCCCAAAGGGAAGGCATCAATTTGATTACTGTTTTCATTATTATTTTAGGGACTTCCTGTGTTACTATACAGTGCTACAGCATTAGCAGTCAATTGGAGAAAGTACACCGTATTGAACTGCAGAATATTTAAGAAGGAAGAGGAGAGGGAGGTGGACGGGAGGCTGGAAAATATTAGCAAGGCTCTCCGTTCATCACTTGCGTTAGAAGTTCCTGATGTGTTTAACAAAGGGAACTTTGCACCAGCAATGACTGTGGACTGGTTTTTGCCTTGTTTGAACCACATCGCAGTTTTGTGACTGAGCACGAGCAAAGGAGAAGTGTTGATCTTTCTCTCTCTCAGGTATTCCCTGAACTGTAGCAGCTCCAGTGAGGTGTCACATCAGACAGCCGCTCTGCAAAGTTTGATCCCACCTGCTGATACCAGGCTCGCTGCAGAGAAAGGCAGATCCAGTTTCAGAGGAAGGCTTCTCACACATACTAATTTGGTTACTTAATTCTGACCTTTCAAATGAGGAGCAAAACTGAAATGCTGGTCATTAAGATCCCAAAGCCTTGTTTTTCCTTCTCCACATGCCTGCCCCCTGCCCCC